GTGGGCAGGCTGTATGGGAATAGTGGCACCAGGATAAGTGATGTAAGCTTGTTGCTTAGGAAAGCGACATCATGACTCAGTCCAAACACAGTCGCAAACCTGTGGAGAGGGTCGTGTTCGGCGAATCAGACTTTTAGGATAAAAGAATTCAGATGAAGAACGTGGCATATTTGGAGGCTGCTGAGAAAAAAGAGAGAAAGAGAGAGAGCACGAGAGAGAGAAAGAGAGAGAGAGAGAGAATGAGAACAGGAGAAAACATGACAGAGAGAATGAGACAGAAGAGAAGAGAGGAGGGGGAAGAAGGGAGAAGAAAGTGGCGAAGAAAGGAGGCAGAAAGGAGAGAAGAGGGGAAAGAAAAAGAGAGAAAGAACACAAGAAAAATGGAGGGAATAATAAAGCCATTTTCATTTCAGAATTACTATAACAGATATGTAGCTTAATGAGATTAAGATGTTTATCATTCATGAATAATTACAAATACATTATCTATAAAGTCAGTAGCAAATGTAAAATCACAACAAGGACATATATTGCTTGCCACAGAATGACCATGGTCCATGTCCAAAGTACATGATCTCTTTAGTAGGAATTTAAAAAATACTTGTTGATTGACTGGCTACAGTATGGAGCTCTCCACCCTCTCCCCAGCACAATTAACTTTGACCCGAAAACTCTTAAGATACACTGATAAATACGACTACTGAGAAACTCTTAAGAATCTGTTTTTACAAACTTTGCCTGAGTTATAAAATAGCAAGACTGTGGATTACTCAGTGGGGATACTGAGAAGTTGTTTTTTTCCCATTTTACTATGGAAACCACTAAAGTCATACACTGTACAGGGTTTGACTCAGGAATTGGCCACTGTAGAAATGCTCTCAAGAGATCACAAGATTGACTTCATCTATCCCCAAGTCAGTTTTCTAATGATGCTGCCTTCAGGGTTATCTATGTTAGTGAGTGCTCTATAGGGACAACTAGAAGAGCTGGACAGACCACACTGCAGGGTACCATTATGCTCTGGGGAGAAATGGGATCCTTGGCACTAGAGTTTTAGAGCTGGAAGGGACCTTAGAGCTCATTGAGCCCAACCTTTTTTATTGTATGGATGGAAAAAATGCGACCTAGAGGGGATGAGCTAACTTGCTCAGGGTCATAAGTATTAATTTGAACCAGGAGCCCTTGACTCTAAATTCACTGCTCTTTCCTCTGGAGCATGGTGTCTGTTTTCACTATCATATCCTCTAGATGTAAGGGAACTCAGGAGTTGTTGAATTGGACCATCTGGCTGGAGAGCTAGACTGAACTAGAGTATTACTGAATCCCTTGGTGAATTTCAGCTATCTTATGCAGATCTAAAGCATGAAAACACTGGGCTACTCTTGCCCAGTGTGCATGAAGAAAAAAAAATTTTATATGTACACATATATCCTATATAATGTACATAGATATGCATATCTAAATGTATGTATCTATATATACATATCTGTGTATATATATATATACATCTATGTATATCTCTATATGTATTCATCAGGATTTTTTGTATGCTTTTCCAGTGATTTGTATAAAGATGATTTTTAAAATTGTTGAAGCCTGTTTTTCATCACCTTACTGAGATGATCTGCAAATAGAGGAAATCCTTACAGAGGAAAAAAAAGTTAACTTCCATTTAGTCTGGCCTCTTAACATGTCCATCTTTACCTTTAAAAGAATCCCTAAAGACTAGGGTAAAATGATGGGTCCAGAGTCCAACAACATCATGGAGATAAGAGATGTGAGCAGAACTAACCAAGTGGTTTCTGGGTAGCATGGCATGACCATCTCATGGCTATGCTCTATCGCATTTCCAATTTGAGAATAGAAGCCTTAAAAAGTCCTTTCCTTATGGTGTCAGGGCTTTACTCAATCAATTCCCAGATCATTCATATGAAAAACATTCTGGAAGCAGGTCAACGGCTCAGTAACCTTTATACCTTGCAGATGGGCAGTGGTGATACATAAGGGTTAAATGATGTTCTGCAGCTTCGGTTGTGTCCTCATTCAATCAGCAGTGCAAAACCCCCTCCATCTTGTCCTGCTACCTTCCATTCTGTATGAGTCTTTGCTTTTTTTCTTAACCTTTCCCTAAGGAATATGTTTGCACATCTCAGAGACAGGAAAGATTCCCAAAACATGCGAATTACAAAACATTGCCATCTGATTTGAGGCAGTAAGGTGTCATTGTGCACTTGGAATCAGGAAGACCTGAAGTCTAGTCCTCCACTACTGACTATGTGGTCCCGGGCAAGTCAATTGGTCACTCAGTCTCGGTTTCTTCATAAACAGAATCAGGGGGTTGGACTTGATGCCCTCCAGAGCTACCTTTCAGCTCTTATGATTTGGCAGACTGCACTTGAAATAAAGATAATTTGTACGTGTGTGTGTGTGTGTGTGTGTGTGTGTGTGTGTGTGTGTGTGTGTGATTAAGTGAAACAAAGACATTGGAAAGGAACAGCTGTAACTCTTGGTGTAACTGACAAAAACTACTGAAAATGAGGCCCACTGCCTTTTCTGACAGTTACTATTCTTAAGTAAGTGACATTAATCACTGTGCCTTCATTACCAATGTTCACTGCTCTGGTAATAATTCAGTAAATTAGTCAGTCACTCAAATCGCTTCTTGTACTAGCAAAGGCAAACTAATAAAGCAAATAGGATAATCAAATGTGGATGCCTAAAGAAAGTTCACCTTACTAGCTGTGTGACCCTGGGCAAGTCACTTTACCCCATTGCCTGGCCAAAAAAAAAAAAAAGTTCAGGGCAACCCTTCTTTATGACACTAAGCTGGGTGAAATAAACTCCAGACTTTCTTAGTGCAGGGCCACTAAAGAAAGTTTTATTCAGTGATGTGGGCACAGGGCTTGGTCTCAAACATCCAAAGCCTGTTAATTCTTGCTATAATAAACATTGCCTACAATCCTGGAGAGAATTCCGGGATCAGTATAATAGCTAACATTTATAACATAGTATAATATAGTAACATAATATAATAGTTAACATAATGGCTAACATTTGTACAATTATCTCATATGATCCTCATAACAACCCTTGGAAGTAGGTATTTTATTATTTACTATTATTAAAATTATTCCCATGGGGAACAGATGGGGAAACTGAGGTAAACAGATGTTAAATGATTTGCCCAGGGTCATATAGCTAGTAAGTGTCTGAGGCTGAATTTGAAGTTGGGTCTCCCTGACTCCAGGCCTGGAAACTCTTATCCACTACACCATCCAGCTGCGCGAGTGCCAAATGTAGTTTTTTGTCAGGGATGGGGGGGGGTTGGTAGGGGAAGGTTTGGACCTGTGATTTCATGGGTGCAGGTAACTTCTGATGTGGTAACTCCCTTCACTGATACAGCTTTCAAACATGTCTCTAAATTGTAGCTATAGAGAAAGTACTGAGAAGTTAAGTGACTTGCTCATTGTCCTGCAATGAGTATGTGATATAGGCTGGACTATGTCATTTTAAGTCACCCTAACTCCAAGGCTAGCCCTCTCTCCACCCACTCCACCACACAGTTTGCCTAAACTCCATATAGCATACACATTTAGATTCTAACTCTGCTTAGTGGTCTAGTCTCTCTGCCTGCCTTAGAGCTGCTTTGAGGATTTACTTAAGACTAGCAAAGGACTTTGAGGGTAAAAAAGCATATTATTCCAATGACATGACTCTAGTCTTTTGCTTAATATTTCAAAATTATAGGACTACAAAGGGGAAAAATAGCTGTACTTTCCTTGTGCTGAATTCCAAAGCTACCTGAGGAGTTTGTTCATATTAAGAAGAGGAATAAGAAGGTGAGAGTCCCCTCAAATTCTGCCCTCATCTCATCACATCTGGGACAGGGTGTTCAGTTCCAGATGTCACATTTGAGGAAGCTTATAGAGAAGCTAGGGAACATCCAGAGGAGAACAACTGGGATGGTTAAGGGCCTTGTGGTAATGCCATAAGACTGACTGAAGGAAACGGGGTTGTTTAGTCTGGTAAAAAGAGGACTCAGGAAGGATGTGATGGCTGTCTTCAAGTATGTGAAGGAAGGAGGCTTTAGACTTGTTCTTTTCCAGAGGGCAGTAGAAGGTGGTGCTTGCAAAGTATCAAACTTAGGCTTACTTTGAGGCAAAAAAAAAATGCTACCAATTGTCAGGAGCGAAGTGGTTTGGATTAGGAGGTGAAGGGCTTTCAAGTGGAGGCTGAATGACAGCTTGTATAATGTGTTGTAGTAGGGATTGTTTTTCATATATAGGTTGGTCTGAATGGCAACCAAGGTCCTTCCCTTTGCAGTGTGAATAGTAATAACTAGCATTTCTATAACTCTTTAAGGTTTGAAAAGCACTTTGTATATATTATCTCATTTGGTCCTCACAATTACCCTGGGAGGTAGGTGCTATTAGTAGATCCAACTTACAGATGAGAAAACTAAAGGCTGATAGTGTCATGTGACTTATTTGGAGTCACACAGCTAGTAAGTGTCTGAGGCAGGATTTGAATTCAGGTCTTCTGGGTCGAAGTCCAACACATTAGCCCCTGTACCACTTAGCTTCCCAGTTTTTGATTATGCAACCCAGAAGCAAGAGAACAAGCTTGTGGATGCTGAAGCTACTTTGGCAATCTTGGTTCTGAGGGGTTCATTTTGATAATTACTGAGATTCAAGTCTTGAATGACAACTTTATTTAGGCTGAAATGGGAATCTGTTTTGTCCTAAATTCAACAAAGACTACAGCATGACTAATAGATTGCCAAGATGTTGAATACAAAGACCATATGACTTCTTTTTATCACCTGTATTATTCAAATTTCCCTTGATGTGCTTTTTTCGGAAACTGCTTCAGTAAGGCGAGACTAGCATCTGTCACCATCATTTGGTGCAATAGGCTAAAATCAGATATTTAGGGACAGGAGATCAGTTTCGCCCAAGGGTTGCTCAATATGCAAAACAATCTGGCTTGTATTCCCTTACCCGGAGTTTTTCTTCTGTCTTAGTGGACTGCTTACAGTCTGGATGCCAAACGGTGGAACCTGGGAAGACAAAATCCATTGGTTAACAGTAAAATAGCTCCAGAAGGAAAAAGCCATAAAATTGCTAAGCATTGCTTCCATCTCCATGGCCTACATTTAAAGGATATCAAACAGTGTCTAAAGAACCCCCCCCAAGAGGTTTTGGATGAGTTTTCCACAGTAAATCCTGAATTACTCTAAAGAGGGCATAGTTATCCTTTGCAGAAAATGTTAATTACTCAAAATGTCTTGAGACATTTTATCCATGACTATGTATGTCAGTGTACTCTGAAACTATACAGACATATGTACATATATGTGCACATATATGGATGCAAATACATATACACATACAGATATATGTATATAAATATATCTATAGATGATACATATTTCTTTCTCTTCCCCTCTCTTTACCTCCCTCCTCCAATTTCCTCATTGTTTGTAACTTCAGATGTAGAAACTACCTCCAACAATGAAAGTGGACAACTCTTCTGAAATTTCAAGTCTTAGAAAGTTGCTTGGGGCACTGACAGGTTAAATGGCCTGCTCATGGTTGTTAGTGCCAAAGGTACAATTTGAAACCTATTCTTTCTGAGTATGAGACTGGCCCTCTATGCCCTATGCTAGACTACCTCTCTATAAACTACATTGGAAAGTGGGGCAGGGCTAGCCCTGGGACTTCATTGTAGGTGGTAGAATGTCCCTCTACCAATGCAGGCAGGAAGCGATTCTACAACATGTGATCTTAAAGAGTGGCCCATCATACTGAGAGGTAAATTAACTTGCTCAAGGATCAGATCAGCTGGTATATGCCAGAGATAAGACTTGAAGCAGGTCATCCTGACTCCAATGCCAGATCTCTATCCATTATGCCATGATGTTTCTCACTAAATACATTATAAGTTCATAAATGCAAGACATGTTTATGTGATATTAAAACAACCAGTAAATTCAGTGGCAGGAAAAAAAAAGAGGCAACTAGGATGAGTGTATAAACAAAATACTAATTAATTGTCTGGATTAAATAATTAATTAGAAACATCTATTATCTCCATAAACATGGAACTGTATCAAACAAACTTGAATATGATTTGCCTTTTTATTTTAAAATAAAAACTTTAAGAAAGTAAAAGTACAATCTACTTGCTCATTGTCTCCTCTTTTCCAATTGTGTACATAAATTCTGATTTTCAAAAATAGCATAATCAATTTTTTCACTTCTATTCTCTGCTTTGCATAATTTTGTATATCTTTCCATATTTCTTTGATTTTTTCACAAACTGTCAATTTCTAAAAATCAAATAATATGCTCTTATTCTGACATATTATATCACAATTTATTTAAACATTTTCTAATTTTTGGACATATAGGCCCCTCCCCTTTTATATTATGAGTATCTATGAATATTTTTGGTCATGTTTTCCTTTTAATAATGTCCTTAGTATATAGCTTCAGCAGCTCAGTAGCTGGGTAAAAGGCAATGACTGATCTTATAATTAACTGTATATTCCCAGATTACTATGCTAAAAACATTCACCAAATTATAGTATCCTCAACAATATACAGGAATAACTAAAGCTCCATCAACACAAATTTTATAATTCTAGTTACTTTGTCCATTAGATCATAAGATGGTATTTCAAAATGTTACAAAGCTATGTTAGAAACCACTTTACCTTTTAACTTTGTAGTTAATGAACTAATTAATGTGAATTCCCAGATGAGGTAACATCTCTATGTACACTAAAGATTAAAACTCACATGAAAACGAGATTTGCCCAGGTTCAGAGAAAAGTTTAAAGGATGTAAAAATTTTTAAAAAGTTAATAAAACCTCACTATGTAGAAGTTATGTAAGATTGGACAAGTCATCTAATTTATTGGTGCCTCCATTTTCTTATTTATAAAATAAGAATTGGACTAGGTGACATCTAAGAATCCTTGTAATCGTCAACTCCATGATCCTTTGATAAGTTAAGAAGTCTTATTGCCTATAAAAATTATGTGAATTTAGTATCTAGAAGTGGAAAGAGATTTGGAGTGGACTGTTTTTGGTATCAGACTGCTTGGGTTCATATTCTAGCTTTGACACTAATTACTTGTATGACCTTGGGCAAATCATTTAACCTTTTGAGGCCTTATTTTCCACATATGCAAAATAAGGGGACTGAACTCAATGACTTTGAAGGTCCTTTTTAGTTCTAAATCTATGATCCTTAGAGGCATGGAGGTGGTGTATTGATTGGTTAGAGGGCTATACCTGATGTTAGGAAGACATGAGTTCAAATACGTCCTCAGATACCTTTGACCTTGAACAAGTCATATAACAGCTGTTTGCTTCAATTTCCTCTTCTGTAAACTAGGGATAATAATACCATCTATATCCCAGGGTTGTTATGAGGATCAAATGAGATAATATATGTAAAGTGCTTTGCAAACCCAAAAGCAGCTACGTAAATGGTAGCTATTGTTGTTGTTGTTGTTGTTAATATTATTACTACTATTATTATTATTTTGGGCAGTTACTAGTCAAGTCATTTTAACCTCCAATAGTATATAGTAAATACTACATATTAAATGTGACCAAAACAAATACTACATACTAAATAGCAATAGTATATAGTAAATACTACAATAGTCTATAATACTATGTAATTGATGGCAAGAAAAATAGATTTAAAAATCAAACTATTGTCCACTAAAGTTTGCTTAACAAGCATTTCCCCCTCCCAAATATTTCTCATTCCATCATGTAAAGTCATTTTAGCACCATGAAGGGCAGAAGAAGTCCTGTTAATGCAAAACAAGCTAACTAGGAGAGACAAGGTCAGATCCCAGGAAAGCTCACATTCTGAAGGCTCTCTTAAGCACCGGGCTAAAGCCCAGAACACCAAGGTTGCTTCTGATTTGCCAGCAGCACACAATGTAAACATTCTCATCAGGAGGTCAGACACACATGGAATGTGACTCAGAGCCTCAGATATTTGGCTTTGACTTTAAGCTGCGGAAGAAGAAATCGCTCATTCTTCTCAGGGGAAGTGTTGAGAGAATGGGGAAAGTATACCAAAGGTTGCCTTGGAATAGAATCTCAGGGTAATCTCTGGGTCTTGGGATTTTTCCCATCCTAACACATGGTCTAGGATTGTTAATATAGTGTACCAGAGTGGTGCAGGGAGTTTTTAATCACCTCCTCCATTCAACTCCCAAGACTTTTTTAAATGCTGTGGTTCAGAGCCCTGGAACCTATGCAACTCATTCATTGGTGGACATAAAATCTCCCAATTTCTTCTAACTCCCTAATTTTAGAAAGACATCATCAGTATTCCATGAAGTCCTAAAATGTTGACCAGAAACCATAAGAAAAACAAGGCTGCTCATCCTTGAATATGCCACTTCTGTTATGGTTGCATACAGAGCACATCTGTCCAAAGGTAAATGCATCACAATTAAATCCATGTGACAGCAATGAATTCTGGACACTTGACACTTACTAGCTGTGTTATCCTGGGCAAGTCACTTAATCCCAATTGCCTCACAAAAAAAAAAAAAAGGCAAAAAAAAAACCCAAAGAATTTTAGCATTCTTCCTGGTCATGGGCCATCCGCTCAGAATAGCTTGGTAAAGTGGAAAGAGGTTTGGATTTAGCACCCTATGGCATGGGTTTGGTCTTACCTCTCTATCACTATCTAGTTTCATGATCTTGGGAAAGTCTCCTCACTTTTCTAAACATTACCTTCCTCATTAGGGTTAAAATTGCCTATCCTACCTAACCTCACAGGACCAAGGGAGGTAAATTCCTTGAGGACAGGCATGCTTTGTCTTTCTTTTTATCCCCAGTGCTCCATATAGTGCCTTGCTTATAGTAGGCACTTAATAAATGTTTGTTAATTGACTGACTGAAAATGTATTGGAACCTATATAGCTATAAATATCAGGTAGTATTATTTGTATTAAAAGTTTAGTGATCTGTGGCTGTTATTTTGCAGAGTGCCTCCAAAATCATATTAGATGGGGGTCTTTGGAATGAGAATGTGACTGTAAAAGTTGCATTTTGGCAGGATAGGCCAAATAACAAAAATTTCTCTTATATGTAGAATAATTTTTACAAGCACCTCCTATGTGCATGAAAAATACAAATCAACTTCAAAGCACAGATAAAAACATACAAGATTACTATGCAATGAGAAAAGGTGAAATACAATGCCTTAACAGTCCAGGTACCTTGATTACAGAAAAAAAAGAGCAATGTTTCCTGGATACTTGCTAGTTATGCTCATAATCTCTTTTCTAATTAGAGAGATTTATTTTTTTCCTTCTAAAAATAGCAAAAAGCTTAATGGGGAAAAGATTCTTTCCTATTTCCTCTCTATCACCTTCTAAGTTTTTAGAGGAGTAAAAAAAAAAAAAGCAAAAATCACCCAACAAACCCAAAACTAAAAACATTTTCATACTGGAGAAATTGCTCAAAATTATGTTCCAAATGACCCTCCAGAAATGAATATTGGATCAATGTCTCCTCTACTCAGAGCTTCCTCCCTTGAGGACTCTGAGTTCTTCCTCTGAGGCTGTGGATATGAGAGTTGTGGTAGTTTAATGGGACAAAAGAAAAGGTGTGATACAACATGACTAATGTAGAAATGTTTAATATGATTGTATATGTATAGCCTATATCAGATTGCACACCATCTTGGGGAAGGGAGAGGGAAGAGAGAAAAAAATTTGGAACTCAAAATCTTATAAAAATGAATGTTGAGAACTATCTTTACATGTAATTGGAAAAAATAAAATACTATTAAATGGGGGAAAAAAGAAACAAAAAAGAAAAGGTATGATGTAATTCACCAAGTATGGGAGGATATATTCTCTACATAACCTAACCTGATCAAAGAAAACTGGGGGGAAAGAGGGGGAGCAAAAAATACCCAATTGAAACCAATGGCCTTGAAGGACCCTGAAAAAAGGAGAGAGAAAACATCTATCAAGCAGTTTGACTTTATAAACTCTCCAGTTCATCCTAACTTTTTTTTTCTTATGAACACTTTGAGGATAGAAGAGAGGCTAGGTAATTCTCTTTAACTTTCAGTCTAAGAATGGTAGGTTTTTATACTTATTCAAAACTACTCTACTCCACAGTGACACACAGTGAAAAGGATTTCACATATTGGCTTATGCCCAGAGACAGGTATAGCTACAGCTGCTGTTCTGATTAATTAAGTAATTACATAACTTCTGGCCCTATTTATTAGGCTTGGGTAAGTTTAACAGCTAATGAAGAGCCCTTTGCTTAACTGTTGTTCTTTGTTTTAAAACAGAGGGGGATTAGGGGAAAGTGACTGCAGTGCAAAAAAAAATGTATCAACAAAACGATGAAGTGAGGAAAACCCCGCCAAAACATTACTCCAAGTAGCAGGCTTGGTTTTCTTTCTGGAACAGAGAAGATGCTCTGTTGCTGGGTCCATCTTACCTTGAAGATACATTTCCTCTCCTTCTGTGAACATTTGGTTGCACCTGCTGCATCGCGCACAGCTTGGATGGTAGTGTTTATCACCGGCCTACAAGGAAAAAGAGGGAGAGGGAGACCCTTTACTTTACGTCACATTCTTCATTCACTATTGCAGACCATCTTTGTCTTGTCTGTTTCTAGCTTTCTGGAGTTAGGCAGCAGGCAGGCTTAGGGAACTTAGGAGTTGGGGAGTGATCAGAAATAATGCTAATTTCAGGGGGCAGTTAGGTCGTGCAGTGGATAGAGCTCTGGCCTTGAAGTCAGAAGGACGTGAGTTCAAATTCAGTCTCAGACGAATGACATTTACTAGCTGTGTGACCCTGGGGAAGTCACTTAACCTCAATTACCTCACCAAAAAGCAAGAAAATAAAAAATAAAAAATAAAAATGCTAATTTCATATCAGATTTACTACCCTAAGATTCCTGGAGGCTAAAGGCCAAAAGTCAGAACAGAGTTTGGCTCCTGAAACCAGGATGCCTGTCATAACTGAATGAAGATGCCATCTTTTGGCTTTACTTGGTTTCCAGAAGGTTCCTTCTCTGAGCCTGAACTTTCTTGGTCTACATCAGGTTGTACCCAATTTTAACGTGATGAGTGCACCAAGGGCTGGATTGAAATAACTCACACAACTCCCATAAACCTCACCTCAAAAAATAATTAAGAGGAGGAATTTCATTTCCTTGAACTACTGCTGACTTAGTAAAAAACAATTCTCTACTCCTCTCTTCTTTTTAAATAGGTTCCAATCTGTTCTCTTCCCAAATCTAGTGCCTTTAACAGATTCCAATCTGCTTTCTCTGCTGAATAATCCAGAGCTAATCAGATCTAGCTAGCTAGCATCAAGAGGACAGATGACCATGACAGACTTCTGAAACTGCTTTTATTTCAGGGGACCAAATTTCCTGCAATGTAGTACCTGTGCTGATCCAATCACGTTTTCTCAAATTGGGATTCTTCTAAAGGAGAAGAGTTTGCTCAGGCAGCCCTACATTATTCACAGGTATTTCACAATTCCTGAGATAACAGATGCCTTCATGGCAGGGCCACTGGAGGCAAGACCAATTCTCTAGGCAGGTGCCAAGTCATGTTACGTTTGTATATCAAAAAAACAAAAGGGAAAAAAAATCCTCTTTCCCCCCTGACAAGCAAAAATAAATCTCCAAATAATCAAGTGACAACTAAAACCAAAAAAACTCAAACCCTTTACCACTGAATAATTACCTGGTAGGGACAAATCTCCCTTAGGATCAAATCCTTTTATCTAGGTAACCGAAGAATTGTCAGTGGTAAATGCTGAGCACTCACATGTGCAAGGCACCAGAGAGAGACAGAATTAGATGTGGTCACTGATTATGCTGGGCTCTGCATGACATCTCAGCAGGAGAAGAGAGGTTAGAGCACTAAAGCCCCTTGGCGGAAACTACAAAAGCAGTTTAACAATCTAATCTGAGTGTAGGGCCCAGGTCAGCTATACAGCCCATGGGGGAAAACAGCCTGAAGTCTTGACACAAATAAAAGCTGGAACTAAATTTCATAAACTTAGAACTGGATGGGACTTCAGAAGCCATAGTCTAGCTCAAGTCCCTCATTTTATGGATGAGGAAACTGAGGCACAGAGAAGTTAGGTGACTTGATTGGGGTCACACATATAGTAAGTGGCAAAGTCAAGATTTGAATCCAGACACTCTGACTTTTCCAGTCATACCATGTTGATTTTCGACCTTGTCATCACCGTCACGATGAGTTCCAAAGATGGTGCCTATGTGCAGGCAGGCCTCGTCTCCAGGAATATCTTTTCTTCTCACTAAAATGTTAACTGGAGATCAAACGAAAAATAAAGCTGTTCTGCTTTGAATATGCCACTTCTATCATGGCTGAAGACAAAGCATTATTTGTCCGAAGGCAAATGCATTATGACGAAATTCATGTGACAGCAATTAATTTTGTCATTCTTCCCAGTCATAGGGTGTTCAATTAGACAGAACAACATGGTAGAGTGGAAGGAGCTCTGGACTTATCATTCTTTGACATGGGTTTGAGTCTTACCTCTGTCACATTCTAGGTATATGACCTTGGGCAAGCCACTGAACTTCTAATCATCAGCTCCTCATTGGAATTTAAATTACCTATCTTACTTAACCTCATAGGATCAATGGATGTAAATTGTTTTTTTTTTTTAATGATGACATTGGGGGTGAGCACATGGGAATTCTAAACTGAGTGTCCCTAAAGAAACTTTTACTCTTCACAGTCATTTTCAGCATCAGGGCATTTATGATGTAAGCAAGTATAAAGAAAAGGGTTATAAAAACAGGAGGTTGGTGGTAGTAGTGGTGGTAGGAGAATTAAAGCAATCCCCAATATCTAACAGCTCCAAGTCAGGACTGGGGATCACCAGAGTATCAGACATATAGTATACAAATCTACTTGGACACTCTCTAATAAGAGATGGGGTAGGGATTTTTAATAAATGGAGGTAAGGAGTGGGCAAATTACAGGAATGGGAGACATTCTTATGAAGAGGCACAGAGATTGGAAAGGGAATGTTATGTAAGAGAACAGCTCGCATTTACAATAAAAGTCACTCTAAGCTTTACTGAGCATTTTCTTCACAGCAATCCTGTGAGGAAGTGATGGGGCAGTTAGTCTAGATATTTCCATTTCACAGACTGGGAGACCAAAGGTCAAAGAAGTTAATGGATTTGTCCAGTCACAAGATGGTAAACATCAGAACCAAGACCAAGGTGTGCTTGTAAATATTGGCAGACATACTTTTAAGGTTAACCTGTATCATTAACTTTTTCTTCATCACTTTTTAAAGTCTAGAGACAAAACAAAATATTGAGTTCTGATTGGAAGCATTTGTTAATTTCTGAGGTCTAAATGCTCACACTGACAACAGCCCAACTGGTTCTCAGTAGCTAGTATGCTTAAACCTAGGTTTTATATCTTTAAGACCACTGGTCTTTCCACTACAAGCTGTGTTAACAGCACCAGCAAAGAGAAAAAGTCACCCTCTGGCAAAGGTTACATCTTACCAAAAAATCAGAGTGGAGTGTCTGGTTCATTAATGAGTCTTTGAAAGATCTACACCTACACAGAGTACTAGCAATTGTTGCTTTTTGAATGCTGTTTATTTAGTGATAATAAGCCTACAAATTAGTTCTGCCTTTCTGACTGTTTAACATTACAGTATTAAACCTGAAGTAAAGTGTAGTTTGAACTTTAGCTAACACCTCTCCTGGAACTACATCTAGGGGAGTATAGTTACTGGAGGGTCAAAGGTTCTCACTAGAAGAAAATCTTAATTGTAATGTAATCCCATAACATGAATCCCAAGGACAGAATACAGTAAGATTCTGGCATAGATAGGTGATGTGTCCACCAATACACATTTATTTATATTCAAAGAATATATGCATTTTATGACATAGGGGAATCATGAATTAGAAATCTGCCTAGTTCTTAACTAGCTTTGCTATAGATTAGAAGCTATACTGTTGGACTAATTTCAGTCTCCAAAGCTGTTTGGGGATATTGACCCCCCACATCTCATCTATGATACAATGCCTCTTTGGTGGTTAAGGGGGAAAACCCAAACTAATAATGCCACACGAAGACTTTGTCATTTATGAAAGAAAAGAAATATAAGAAGTAGCTTAAGCACTATTATTTATACAGTCATTTTAAGCCTTGGCCTTACACTTTCATAAAAATAAAATTTTATTGATGTTCTTTTGTTTATAGTAGTTTTTTTTTTCTGTATATACACTCGCACTGTGCTGTCCCCCAAACACCTGTTGTTGTTCAGTTGTTTTTCAGTCATGTTTGACTATTTGTGACCCCATTTGGGGTTTTCTTGGCAGAGATACTGGAGTGGTTTGCCATTTCCTTCTCTAGCTTATTTTAAAGATGAGGAAACTGAGTCAAACAGGATTAAGTGATTTGTCCAGTGTCACATAGGTATTAAATGTCTGAGGCTACATTTGAATTCAGGAAAATGAGTCTTCCTGACTCCTGGACTAGCACTGTATCCACTGTGCCACCTAGATGTCCTCAATCCCCATACTGTATAATTATAATGAACCAGGTTTGCCCCAAAGAAGAGATATGAAAATGCATTTCCCTCCTTTCTTTTCAGAGGAAGGGGACCCTGGAGAGGGAAGAGGGCATTAGCTGTTGGATTTGATTAATATGTAAATTTTGGTTGACTGCTTTGTTTTCTTTTTCTTTTTTAGTCTCTTAAGAGATACCTCAGAGTGGAGGAGAGGAGGAAGATAATGGGAAATTAAGATGATATAGAAATAAAATATATCAATCAAAATCAATTTTTAAAAAATGCAACTGTAATGAGTGTTCCTATATCTGCTTTTCTCAGAAGTTCTAAAAAAACTATGCTATGCTTGAAAAATATTTTTAAATACATGATTCCTTTTATTTCTATCACATTCACATCTGACTGTATCTCTTTCTCTCCCCTCCCCATAGAACTATCCTTTGTAACAAAGATTAAAAAATAAAGAAGCATCAGACGGCTCATCCAATGGATGGAGGTGGTAGTGGGAAGAAAGAACCACACTTAATTCAGCCTCTCTAGTCTTCTGTGTTCACTCCCACTTCTCCCTAGGATGGAATTCAGGGACTGGTGCTGAAAATATTTTTAGGCCTGCCATTTCCTAATACAAAATGCTTTTAATGTCCTAATGTCCTTTTAATGTCCTTTCCAATTCATTTCAGGGAGTAAAATACAAAAACAGAGCACCCCCCCCCAAAAAAAAGACAAGATGAGGTTAAAAAAAAATGTTTCACAATCACTTATTCATCCCAAAGGACAGTTCACACAAGAACAATTGGGAAAACAAAACTAACAAATCCTTCCTCTCCCCAGTTTCTTTTTTATACTCCTCCCTGATCCCATTCCTTGTAGTCTCGGGTAGTTGGTAACCATGGAAACCACTGCTGTCTCTCCAGCAGCTGTTGGGGCAAATCCAAGAGATTATAGGCCAAGAAGGATGCTGTGTTGAAAGCCAGCCACTTCTAGAGCAGTG